CCCCTTCCCCCCCCCCCCCCCATTTGCTCCTCTCCTTGAAAAGCAAAAGAAAAACTCCCTCATTGGTACACAGTCTTCATATTTCATGGCTTCCATTTGTGTTAGTTACTGTACATTTAATAGCACATTTCAGAACCTCTGCTGATGAGATTTTGGTCTTTTACTTCTTTCTTATCTTTTACATGACTTTTTGATTATTATTTTTTTCATGTATAACTTCTTTGTAGTTCCCACAACTGGTTTGTTATTAGTCATTAGGTTCAATGCATTTGCTGCAGAAGGTCAAGGACTGTAGCCTTCAATATGGATTGAAGCTCATCAGCAAGAAAACAAAGATTCTCACCACTAATTAGCAGCATCGTGAGAGATGGTGAAGAGATTGAGATTGTTAACAGCTTTAGTGTGCTTGACTCCACAATCAACACTCTTGGGACCAGTAGCCAGGAAATCAAAAGACAAATTGCCTTGGGGAAAATCTGCTATCAGGGACCTCTCCAGAGTACTGAAGAGTGGTGATGTCAGTCTAGAGACTAAAGTGCACCTGATCTAGGCCATAATCTTCACAATTACTTGCTGGACAATGACTTAGGTTCATAGAAGATGAATTAATGCCTTTGAGCTGTCATGGGACTGCTAGGAGAAGAAACAGATTCATCGTGGAGAGTGAAATCAGGCTGCTCCTTAGAAGCAAGGATTTTGAAGCTTTGTCTGACATACTTTGGGCATGTTTCAAGGAGGGATAAATCCTTGGAGAGCATCATGCTTGGAAGGGTGGAGGGACAGCGCAAGAATGGATTGATTAAGTGACTGGGGTAATGGGGGTGGGTGTGTCAAAGGTGATGAAATTGTCTCAAGATAGAGCAGAGTTTAGAGCTGTTCAGAGTTTAGAGTTCAGAGTTCATAGGATCACTATGAGTTGGAGTCGACTCGATGGCACATATAACAACATGTGTCAAATTCATGAGCTGGTCTGTAAAGTCCAATGGGATACTTGCAAGGTTGAAGTAGCTAGGTGATGTAAATACTTAGTGTATTCTTCTGCCTACTGAAAATGTGGAGGCTTGAATCAGCCAAGGGCATCTCAGAAGAAAAGACTGGTGCTCTAACAGCTGAGCACTAAAAACTCTACAGCCCATCGTTCTGCTCTGACACACCTGGGGTCACCTTGAATGAAAGTTGATGCAAGAACTGATTTGATTTTGATTCTCAATCCTTCATGGTCCCTGAAACGTCTCTGAAATGGTGGCAGAATCTACCCTGTGAATGACTAGTGCATGCAAACCAACACATGCCCCACTGTAGCTTAAGGAACCCACTCTTCCTTAGATAAGAGATGAGGATAGATTTTATACAATTCAGGACGTGTTTAAGTTACATACAGATTTTGCTGCTAAGGGTCTTTGGGCCTGTGACTTTTCCTTAGCCACGTGGGTTTCTGTGACCATCATAATGCTATGTATGTGAATTGGACCCTGGAGTGACTGCCCCACACAAGTGGTGATATGAATAATGCCCTTTCCTTTTCTTCTCTTCTGTCTTGTCTCCTGGCAGTGGTGGCTGCCACTATCACTGTGACTTTCCTTAAACTAGTTCATCTCTTACTGCACTCTGCCTGCCTGGTCACACAAAGGTCACTTGAGTGTCCCAGTGGCCGAGGGAGTGCGTTTGCATTGTAAATGTAATTTTAAGTGGTTTCAGTTCCTTGTGAGGCCTGCCTATGACCATCCTTATGTTGTGATTTGTGCACTTATCGAGTGTGTATGAGAATGTGTGCATGTCGTGTGTGATGAGGCCAGTGGTGGAACTTGAATAGAATAAAGCCTTCGATGGGCTAGCATTTATTTTAATCAGTTGGTTCTTCTCTGCTATGATATTTTGATGTTTTTCAGAATGAAGTACGAATCATGTTCGATGTAGGGAAGTCAAAGCTCTCCTTATTTCGTGCTGTTCTGAAATATATTAACCCTGGAACGGACACTGTACTTGGCTATATAACTATTTATCCATCCTGGGCAAAGGCAGGTAGGTAAATTTTCAAACCTCTTTTCAGTTAGGAGATGATCTATTAATGTTTCCTCTAGTTTTCACAAATTTGAGAAAAAAATTTTAAGTCATTGAGCAGTTCTGTAGGTACTACTTTTTGGGGTTTTTTTTAAAAAAATTCTCTAAATGTTCTACTTATTTGTATCTTACTATTGTAAATTATTGTCAACTGCCACTTAAAAATCAATGTAGCAATCAATGTACTTTTGGCATCTGTTGTTGTTGTTGTTATGTGCCGTCGAGTTGCTTGCGACTCATAACGACCCTATGTACAACAGTCCTAAATTCTGCTCTATCCTGTGCCAATTGCACTGCCTCTGATACACCCATCCCGATTACCCCAGTCACTGAATCAATCCACCTCATAGAAGGTCTTCCCCTTCTGCACTGTCCCTCCACCCTCCCAAGCATGATGTCCCTCTCCAAGGACCTGTACCTCCTTACAACATGTCCAAAGTATGTCAGATGAAGCCCCAGAATCCTTGCCTCCAAGGAGTAGCCTGGTTTAACCCTCTTCAGGATGAATCTGTTTGTTTTCTTGGCAGTCCATGGTACATTCAATACTCTTCTCCAGCACCACAGCTCAAAGGCATCAATTCTCTTTCTATCCTCCCTAGTCATTGTCCAACTCTCTGATGCATAACAAGTGATTGCAAAGACCATGGCCTGTATTAGACACACCTTAGTTTCCAGAGACACACCGTTGCTCTTGAGTACTTTAGAGAGGTCCCTAACATCAGACTTTCCCATCGCAATATGCTTTTTGATTTCCTGGCTGCTGGTGCCAAGAGTGTTGACCATGGAGCCAAGCAAACTAAAGCTGTGAACAATCTCAATCTCTTCACCATCCATCCTGATGCTGCCAGTTGGTCCAGTGGTGAGAATCTTGGCATTTGCACAGGGTAATATTACTTTATAGCTTATTCATGGTGAGGTAGGCATTACCTTTGTGGTGGTGTTGATGTTGGCCTACTGTCTGTTGTTGTTAGGTGCCGTCGAGTCGAGTACAACTCATAGCAACCCTATGAGCAAAAATCTGAACCATGTCTTGTCCTGTGCCATCTTCATACTTCCTGACACACAAGAACTGATTGCAGCAGTCACTATGTCAATCCACCTAGTTGAGGGTCTTCCTCTCCAACCCTCCACTCTTCCTAGCATCATGTCATTTCCAAGGAACAGCCCCTCCTAGCAACATGCCCTATGTATGTGAGGGGAAGCCTCATCATTCTTACCTCCAGAAAACACTCAGGTTACACCCTCTCTGAGACATAGTTGTTACCTATGACCCTAAATTCTCCCATTGTTTTAAGTAAACCATATTGTCCAAGGAGGAGCGGGAGAAGATGGGATTGCCGACGAGCATCTGGTGCTGCAAATGGTTAACAAGCTCAGCTGCTTACAGAAAGATTGGTGATTGGAGTTTATCAGACGTGTCTCAGAAGAAACTTGTAAAATACCAACTGTTGAAAATCCATGGAGTGCGGTTTTACTTTAACGTACAAGGGGTCACTGTGAGGTAGAGTTGACCTGATGGCAGCTAGTACTGTAGGAATTCTTAAGATGAAGGCTAAAAAGTATGAAGGCCAAAGAATTTTAGGTAGTTCTGTGTCAACTGGACAGAATGGATTTCTGAGGGCCAAGGGACAGCAGAAGAGAACAAACAACCTGGCCATACATAGTCAGAAGAGCAAACAAAGTCCCTTCTGAAAATAATTAGGGGCTGCATGAAATATGGAAACTGAGTCTGAAAAGCGTTCGACATCTAAGGACACAAATTAGCCTAAGTGTTTTATGCATAGGAATGGAAGCATCTTTGTTTAGCATCCATGAAAGATGTTTCTAAGGAGCCTATGTGGATGAAAGTTGACGAATGAATAACCAACAGCAAGAACTAGCATACTTGCTTTAACATGTAGAATATTTTAGCATCCATGTCCTCACATGAGGCTCCTAAGACTGTGTGAACTGAAGAAGTTTGAAGAGGAAACAGAACGGAGCAGTCTAGTACATTGCCTGAGGGCACAGCTGGTCTTTATAGACAGACTCTTAAAATATTCCCACTACCTTCTCAGTGATGATGACATCAACAGTTTTCCCTCTACTGAAATACATTCAGGAGTGTTTGTTCATCTTCTCAGACACCTGTACTATACTAAGAGAGCTCTGGTGGCTTAGTGGTAAGGAATTGCACTACCAACCCAGAGATATGTGGTTCCAATCCACCAGCTGCTCTGTGAGAGAAAGGTGGACAATGTCTTCTTGTGTGATTTTTTTAAAACCTGCTGGAGTGTCAGCTATGAGTCGGTTCTGACTTGATGCCACTCAACAACAACAAGATGGAATAAAGAACCCTCCTACCTACCCCTGTAGTGACCTATGCCTGCTGGGTGACATTGTGCACTTGACTGGCTTCCCCAGTCTACCAATCTATAACCATTGTTATTATTATGTACAATCGAGTCAGAACTGACCCATAGCTGACCTCTGAGTGAGTTTTCAGAGGCTGTAAATTACATGCAAGAAGATTGTTCATCTTTCTCCTGTGGAGGAGCTGGTGGCTTTGAACTCTTTGCCTTTGGGTTAACAGCACTACTGACATGTTGACTGCAGCAGTGGGCTCAAGTGTGTCATAGGTGATGAGGATGGTATAGGTTAGGATAAGGTTCTGATCTGTTGTTCGTAGGGTCACTACCCATCAGAGTTAACTCGATAGCACTTAACAACTACAAGAACAACAACAATCCTTCGCCCACCCTGCCTCCTCCATCAGGGAGCAAAGGCTGCAATGATTATGGCCAGTGCCATATCCCCAGACCTTAGCCCTATACTTTGCACTTAATTGACACATCAGATGTATTTATTGAATGAAGAATGAATTTGAATGGACTCCAAAGAATTTTAGGTAGTCCTGTGTCAACTGGACAGAATGGATTTCTGAGGGCCAAGGGGCAGCAGAAGAGAACAACCTGGCCATAGTCAGAAGAGTGAAACCATTTGGAGAATGAAACCAAGGATTTAATAGAAAATATTTCTCTCTAAGAAGTGATTTTAGTGGAACTAAAATGCAACAGGCTTGTTTGTGTATAAACCTTCTACAAGAAAGGGAAAAACACTCTGGTGCCTAGTCAGTAGAGACTTGCATAGCATTTCAGAATGTCTCATGGTTTAAGATACGTATACTACACTGAAGCAGAGGAGGGAGAGAATAATTTAAAAGCGATATATGATAGGGTATTACAGTTATCACAAGAGTCCACAATTAAGGGTGCATAGTGGAGTGTACCCAGGGCAGTGGGAGGGGTGCGGGGGGATTTTATACCAAAGAAAGAATTTTTCTTTTACTTTTTCAAAGAGAGGAGCCAATTGGAGGGTTGCGGGGGGAAGGGCTGGGCAGGGAGAAAAGTGCAACAATGAATGGAAATCCAAAATCTCTGTAAATGTTCATTAAAATATTAAAATAAAATTTAAAAAAGAATTCATTAAAAAAAAAGATAAAAACTAGTGGAACATCTATGAGAATTTGAATCCACCAGCAGCTCTGAGGTAGAATGATGAGCAGTCTTCTCCTGTGTGACTTACAGCCGTGAGTTGAGTTTTAGGTTTGATAGATTCATGGCAGAGACAGAACGTTCCAGTGGCATGTAAATCACCCTGCCTGCCCTCTAGTGGAGAAAATACTAAGGAGGGAAATAACACTTAAACAAAATGCTCTTTTTTATAAAGAGAGAAACTTTATACCATCAGCTCTTTAAGACTTCTTTTTTAGGAGCTAATAATAATCTCCTAGACATTCACCATCTATGGCGTTTGTGCTCCCCCAGCACAGCAGGCCGGGTGCCAGGTGGTGGGCATGTGCCAAGCGGAAGAAATCAGACCTCCTGCCTCCGGAAGCCTGGGATCTCCTCTGCTTATCTGATGTAGCAGAAAGCACACCGTGTCCTGAAAGCAATCCCAAACACAGAAACCCCAAATGTTTCCTATTAAAATAAACGCACTTTCTTTACATTAAATTAAAAGTTCTAAAGTAGAGAGATGTCTATCACATTTCCTCTAGTGTTCATAGGAGCTTTTACTAGAGGAAATTTGAAATTTACTCTTTGGAGGCAAGGATGATGAGGCTTCGGCTGATGGGCATGTTGCTAGGAAGGGGGCTATTCCTTGGAGAAGGACATGATGCTGGGAAGGGTGATGGGTCAGCGAAGGAGAGGAAGACCCTCACCAGGTGAACTGACACGGTGACTACAGCAATGGGCTCTAGTGTGTCAGGTAGTGTGAAGACAGCACAGGATCAGACAGGGTTCAGATCTACTGTTCATAGGATTGCTATGAATGGTACTCGAATCAACGGCACCTAACAACAACTATCTGACTTCAAATTTGCTCACTGCTGTCGAGTTGAAACAAACGCACAGTTGAATCTGTGAGGTTGGCCATCTTTCTCCCATGGAGCTACAGGTGGATTTGAACCTCTAAGGAGGTGCTGCCTTTGAGTTACCAGAGCAGTTCCCTATGGGTTGGACCACCTGCACTCTCTCACACATATAAACAGTGACAACATTGCCATGGAATCAGAATCGACTCAAAACTCCAGTGGGCTTTCAGAGGCCATAAATCACACAGGAGGAGAACGTAATACATTAATTCTATGTATGCCAGATACTTTTTCTAATCAGTTTGTTGTTGTTATGTGCTGCCGAATCGCCTGTGACCCATAGTGACCCTATGTACAGCAGCTCTGAACCCTGCTCTGTCCTGAGCCAGTTTCACTAATTCTGACACACTAACCCCCATCGTTCCAATTACTGTATCAATTCATCTCATCTACAGTCTTCCTCTCCTGCGCTGTCCCTCCATCCTTCTGAGCATGATGTCCTTCTCCTAGGATTAGTCTCTCCTGGCCATGTGCCCAAAGTACATGAAAGAGGGCTTCAAAATCCTAGCCTTCAAGGAGAGACTTGATTTCACCCTCTCCAAGACAGACCTATTTGTTTTCTTGGGAGTCCATGGTATGTTCAAGACTTCTCTCCAGCACCACAATTCTTCTGTCATCCTTAGTCATTGTCCAACTCTCTGATGCATAGCAAGTAATTGCAAAGACCATGACCTGGATTAGGTGCATCTTAGTCTCCAGACTGACATCGTTGCCTTTCAGTAATCTGGAGAGGTCCCTGTCAAGCAGGTTTTCCCAGTGCAACTCTATTCAGTTTATGTAACCTAAACTACTTAATAATTTAAACAGTTTTAAAAAGAATCAAATTTCTAGAGCAGATAATCAGTTCTCATGTCATTATAATTCTGGTATTTTTTAATTGAGAGTTTAATGAAAGTTTATAAAGAACTTGGATTTCCATTCATTCATTGTTGCACATTTTCCTCCTTGTCCTCCCTCCTCCAGTTTGCTTTTTTTCTTTGGGGAAAAAAGTTATTTCACTGTTATACAGTTCCTCCCCCCTCCCCAAGACCACTTTACTGTGCAGCTCTTATTCTGGACTCTTGTCATCAATAACACCTAATCGTATATTCCTTTATAAAGTCTCTCCCTCGTCTATTTCAATGCCGTGTACATTATTTATCCCCTCTTTTCTTAGTTTTCTTAGTTCCTCCCAACCCCCATGTCAATCCTGTTTTATAACAGTGGCATTATGCCGTAATTGTCTTTTTGTGACTGAAATATTTCACTCAGCTTAATGTCCTCCATGGTTACCTATTTTGTTTTTCAGTGCTGCATAATATTCCATTTTGTGAATAGTGAATATACCACAGCTTCTCTATCCACTAGTTTGTTGATGGGCACTTGGGTTGTTTCTAGCTCTTTGCTGTTGTGAACAAAGCAGCAATAAACATAGGTGTGCATATATCTGCTTGGGTGGCAGTTCTGTCTTTCTGGTATTTTTATGCATATGCACATACATGCGTCTGATTTTTAGAAACAAGCTGGTAAAGATGATTAGGAAATGTGATGGACCAGTGAGCTGCTTTAATATTTTTTCTGATGTAACTGGAGTAAGAAACTGAGTTGTAACATGCTATTCTTTTTACTTCTGCTAGGTGCTGTGCAAAGCAAAAAAATCATCTTCCTGCCCAGTAAGGAGCCAGCCTTTGTCACCATCCCTGGAAATGGCTTCTCAGACCCCTTTTCACTTGCACCAGGAACCTGGACTGCTTGCATTAAGGCAGAGGGAGTCTTCCTGGTAAGATGTAGTTCCCAATGGAGACTTCCACAGGATTCTTCCCTGTGGAGGTGACATTGCAATCATTAAGTTCTCGACAGCTGAATGTAGTCATAGGCATTTCCCTTATAGGAAGAAAAGGAGCTTTGGTGGCCTAGTGGTAAGAAGCTGTGCTGCAGTCCCAAAGGCACATGGTTTGAATCCACCAGCTGCTCCTCAGGAGAAGGATGGACAATCTTTTCTTATGTGATTACTGCCTCTGAAAACCTGCTGGAGGGTCAGCTATGGGTTGGTTCCAACTCCATGGCACACAAAAAACGACAATGATGAAATTTACTCTCAAATGACGAACAAATTAACTTTGTTTATATCCTTCCAGCCTACCTCTCTAGGGCAAAATAACAATAGCGAAACAGATTGTAGCTCATTATGACTGGAAGTTATCTGAGCCAATACGCAATCTTCATGAACATATGTCCTCACCATTCAGAAACTTGTTTGGTTTTTTTTTTTCCATTCCAAATTGGAAGGACAGCTAAGAAAAACAAGCCTTGGGAAATTATGCTGAATGAAGTCAAAAGAACCTTGAGGAACAGACACCCTGGTAACAGTGGAGAGAGAAGAAGGGGCTGGAAAGAGTCAGAGCTTCTCTGAGACCCTCCTCCTCCTCTTTATTGATTCTTATGCGCAGGCAGTAGTTGCACCGATATATTGTCTTGGACAAATTACCCTTCTTTGAAGGAAAAGCTGTGATCTCAAATACCAACAGAACAGCTTGTGAAACCAGAAGTGTTGGGTGGATGAAACCCACTACCTGAGATCACCCCCTATTGTATGTGAGTTTGTGTGCTTTAGCTCATAAAAAAAAGGTCTTTCAAAATAAAGTGTTTGATGAAAGCTTGGACTTATGTACTAAAATCAGAATACACATGGCTTTTCCTTGAACAGAATTTCTTTGGCTAATTGATTTAACAAATCTCAGCCAAGTCTCTCAGTGCCAAGCCTGCCTCAGTCGCTTCTTCTATAGGGACAACACTTATCCTGATGGGTCCCCTCCAAATCTAAGGTCCTGCGAAGATAGCTGAGGGTTTGTGCTTCTCCTTCAGGTCCTATTTTACTTGCAACTTCCTGGTAGAAAAACAGCTGTTTTAGAAAAATTCAAGTTTGTTTCATAGATGTTAGAAACAAGGAAGAGGGAAAATTCCACTGAGTACAATAATGAGGACAAAGTTAAACTAATGGAAAGGGAAAATTAATTCTGCAGATCTCTTCATTGGCATGAAAGGTACTAAATTACTTTAAAATACAATTTTATTAGTGTTTAAAATATGCGCAGCAAAAAAATAAACCATTTCTACTGTAAAATTCTGTGACTGTGATTACATTCTTCGGGTTGCACAATTATTCTCTCCCTATTTTCCTGAGCCAGCCCTCCTTATTATCATAAATCCACTGCCTCTTCAGGTTTCTATTTGATCTTTTAAATTAGTGTTATCAATTTGATTGCATATGTTGTTGTTACCAGCTGTTGAGTAGACTGCAACTAATACTGACCCTCTGAACAATATCTCTGAAGCCTGCCCTATCCTGAGCAAATCTAACCATCTCTGACACACCTGACCCCTTAGCCACAGTCTCTTTGTCCATCCATCTTTTCCAGCGTCTTCCTCTTCTTCTACCTTTCCAAGCATGATGTCCCTCCTGGCAACATGCCCAAAGTATGAGACAAGGCTTCAAATCCTTACCTCCGGAAAGCAACCTGGTTTCACTTTCAGGACAGACCTTTTTATTCTCTTGATAGTTCATGGTATGTTTAATACTTTACTCCAGCAACACAACTCAAAGCCATTGATTCTTCTTCTGTCATCCATACTTATTCATTATACAGTGCTCAGATGCATATCAAGTAATTGAGACCATAGCTTGGATCAGGTGTCCCTTCATCTCTACACTGACATTGTTGCTCTTTAGCACTCTGGAGAGGCCATTGACAGCAGACTTTCCCAGTGTAATTAATAATTTTATTTCCTTATTGCTTGTGCCAAAGATGTTGGGTGTGAATCTGAGCAAGATGAAATCGTTAACAACCTCAACCTTTGCTCAATCTAGCATGATGTGTCTATTGGCCTAGTGGTGAGGATCTTTGTTTTCTTGATGTTTGATCCAATTCATATTGAATTTGCATGTTGTTGTTGTTTTGTACCATCAAATAGGAACCGACCTATAGCTGACCCTCTGGTGAGTTTTCAGAGGCAGTTAATGGCATAGGAAGAGACTGCCCATCATTCTCCTGTGGAACAGATGGTGTATTTGAACTGCGTACCTTTGAGATTGTAATGCAGTTTCTTACCATTAGGCCACCAGAGCTTGAATTGCATATAGACAATTTTTAAAAATTATTAT